AGTGTGGCGATGGAGACAGCAGCAATGGGAGGCCGTACAGGGACCCATGACAGACTCTGGACCTGGCAGCAGCATGAGGAGGCGGTATATAGGGGCCCATGGCAGATTAGGGGCCTGGCAGCAGCTATGGGAGGCCCGTAATCTGCCAGCACCCTATGTCAAAAAATTCAACACACCAGCAGTGTGAGGGAGACCTGAAAGTGGCACATGGCAGAGTGTGGCGATGGAGACAGCAGCAATGGGAGGCCGTACAGGGACCCATGACAGACTCTGGACCTGGCAGCAGCATGAGGAGGCGGTATATAGGGGCCCATGGCAGATTAGGGGCCTGGCAGCAGCTATGGGAGGCCCGTAATCTGCCAGCACCCTATGTCAAAAAATTCAACACACCAGCAGTGTGTGAGGAGACCTGAAAGTGGCACATGGCAGAGTGTGGCGATGGAGACAGCAGCAATGGGAGGCCGTACAGGGACCCATGACAGACTCTGGACCTGGCAGCAGCATGAGGAGGCGGTATATAGGGGCCCATGGCAGATTAGGGGCCTGGCAGCAGCTATGGGAGGCCCGTAATCTGCCAGCACCCTATGTCAAAAAATTCAACACACCAGCAGTGTGTGAGGAGACCTGAAAGTGGCACATGGCAGAGTGTGGCGATGGAGACAGCAGCAATGGGAGGCCGTACAGGGACCCATGAGAGACTCTGGACCTGGCAGCAGCATGAGGAGGCGGTATATAGGGGCCCATGGCAGATTAGGGGCCTGGCAGCAGCTATGGGAGGCCCGTAATCTGCCAGCACCCTATGTCAAAAATTTCAAACACACCAGCAGTGTGTGAGGAGACCTGAAAGTGGCACATGGCAGAGTGTGGCGATGGAGACAGCAGCAATGGGAGGCCGTACAGGGACCCATGACAGACTCTGGACCTGGGCAGCAGCATGAGGAGGCGGTATATAGGGGCCCATGGCAGATTAGGGGCCTGGCAGCAGCTATGGGAGGCCCGTAATCTGCCAGCACCCTATGTCAAAAAATTGAAACACACAGCAGCAGTGTGTGAGGAGACCTGAAAGTGGCACATGGCAGAGTGTGGCGATGGAGACAGCAGCAATGGGAGGCCGTACAGGGACCCATGACAGACTCTGGACCTGGCAGCAGCATGAGGAGGCGGTATATAGGGGCCCATGGCAGATTAGGGGCCTGGCAGCAGCTATGGGAGGCCCGTAATCTGCCAGCACCCTATGTCAAAAAATTCAACACACCAGCAGTGTGTGAGGAGACCTGAAAGTGGCACATGGCAGAGTGTGGCGATGGAGACAGCAGCAATGGGAGGCCGTACAGGGACCCATGAGAGACTCTGGACCTGGCAGCAGCATGACAATTGTGGTATAGATAACGGTATAGGGGCCCATGGCAGATTAGGGGCCTGGCAGCAGCTATGGGAGGCCCGTAATCTGCCTGCAGCACCCTATGTCAAAAAATTCAACACACCAGCAGTGTGTGAGGAGACCTGAAAGTGGCACATGGCAGAGTGTGGCGATGGAGAGACAGCAGCAATGGGAGGGCCGTACAGGGACCCATGACAGACTCTGGACCTGGCAGCAGCATGAGGAGGCGGTATATATAGGGGCCCATGGCAGATTAGGGGCCTGGCAGCAGCTATGGGAGGCCCGTAATCTGCCAGCACCCTATGTCAAAAAAATTCAACACACCAGCAGTGTGTGAGGAGACCTGAAAGTGGCACATGGCATGAGAGTGTGTGGCGATGGGACAGACAGCAGCAATGGGGCCGTACAGGGACCCATGACAGACTCTGGACTGGCAGCAGCATGAGGAGGCGGTATATCTGGGCCCATGGCAGATTAGGGGCCTGTGGCTGCAGCAGCTATGGGAGGCCCGTAATCTGCCAGCAACCTATGTCTGTGTCCCTGACACACCTGGCAGTGTGTGAGGAGGCTGAAAGTGGCCACTGGTGCTGAGAGTGTGGCGTGTGGGACAGCAGCAATGGGACCTGTACTGACTGAGGGACCCATGAGGACAGACTGTGGACCTGGGCAGCAGCATGAGGAGGCGGTCACTATAGGGGCCCATGGCAGATTAGGGGCCTGGCAGCAGCTATGGGAGGCCCGTAATCTGCCAGCACCCTATGTCAAAAAATTCTGTGGCCCACACCAGCAGTGTGTGTGAGGAGACCTGAAAGTGGCACATGGCAGAGTGTGGCGATGGAGACAACCCACCGACTGTTTTGCTCGCTGCCAAGCTGCCACCCTCTTCTCCTGATGATGCGGAAGCAATAGCCTGATGACGACGAGGCTGCCAAGTGCGATCAGCCTCATCATCATCAATTAGGGTCTCCGCCTCACTACTAGCCCCCTCGGCTGCGTGTGGGTCAGGAGACAGACCTGTCTCTAGACCGGCTACCGAGCCAACTCTCCTCGCCACTACTTCTTCGCCTGGCTGCTGAAAGAGGCGGATGTCTCCCCCCGTTCCTGACCGCCCTCTGTTGCTCTTCCTCACTGTACTGGATGACACCGGGAGCACTAGCCTCTGGCTGCGAATAGTGCTGCCTCGTAACAATTCCTCTGCTGAGTAACGTCTGCTCGCTCCTAAAACATTGCCTCCTCTGTAACACTCCTCTGCATGTTGTCTGACATACTCTTTAATTAAACGATTCTGTGTCCCTGAGTAACAATTCTGTGTCCCTGAGTAGTAACGTTTCTGTGGCCCCTAAGTAACAATTCTGTGGCCCTCAGTAACAATTCTGTGTCCCTCAGTAACAATTCTGTGTCCCTGAGTAACAATTCTGTGGCCCCTAAGTAACAGTTCTGTGGCCCTCAGTAACAATTCTGTGTCTGTGCGAGTAACAATTCTGTGTCTGTGCGAGTAACAATTCTGTGGCCCTAAGTAACAGTTCTGTGGCCCTCAGTAACAATTCTGTGTCCCTGAGTAACAATTCTGTGTCTGTGCTCAGTAACAATTCTGTGGCCCTAAGTAACAATTCTGTGGCCCTCAGTAACATTCTGTGTCTGTGTTGCTGTGGTAACAATTCTGTGTGGCCCTCAGTAACAGTTCTGTGGCCCTCAGTAACAATTCTGTGCCCTGAGTAACAATTCTGTGTGGCCTCAGTAACAATTCTGTGGCCCTCAGTAACAATTCTGTGTCAAGTAACAGTTCTGTGTCCCGAGTAACAATTCTGTGTCTGTGCGAGTAACAATTCTCTGTGGCCCTAAGTAAGTCAGTAACAATTCTGTGTCCCTGAAGTAACGTTTCTGTGGCCCTAAGTAACAGTTCTGTGCCCTCAGTAACAATTCTGTGTCCCTGAGTAACAATTCTGTGTCTGTGCGAGTAACAATTCTGTGGCCCTAAGTAACAGTTCTGTGGCCCTCAGTAACAATTCTGTGTCTGTGCGAGTAACAATTCTGTGGTAGTAAGTAACAATTCTGTGGCCCTAAGTAACAGTTCTGTGGCCCTCAGTAACAATTCTGTGTGTGTCCTCTGAGTAACAATTCTGTGTCCCTGAGTGTGTTCTGAGTGAGTAACAATTCTGTGGCCCTAAGTAACAGTTCTGTGGCCCTCAGTAACAATTCTGTGCCCTCAGTAACAATTCTGTGTCCCTAAGTAACATTCTGTGGCCCCTCAGTAACAATTCTGTGTCTCAGTAACAATTCTGTGTCCCTGAGTAACAATTCTGTGGCCCTAAGTAACAGTTCTGTGGCCCTCAGTAACAATTCTGTGTCCCTGAGTAACAATTCTGTGGCCCAAGTAACAGTTCTGTGGCCCTCAGTAACAATTCTGTGTCCCTGCGAGTAACAATTCTGTGTGTCTGTGCGAGTAACAATTCTGTGGCCCTAAGTAACAGTTCTGTGGCCCTCAGTAACAATTCTGTGTCTGTGCGAGTAACAATTCTGTGTCTGTGCGAGTAACAATTCTGTGGCCCTAAGTAACAGTTCTGTGGCCCTCAGTAACAATTCTGTGTCCCTGTGCGAGTAAAATTCTGTGTCTGTGCGAGTAACAATTCTGTGGCCCTAAGTAACAGTTCTGTGGCCCTCAGTAACAATTCTGTGTCCCTGAGTAACATTTCTGTGGCCCCAAGTAACAATTCTGTGCCCTGTCAGTAACAATTCTGTGTCCCGAGTAACAATTCTGTTCTGTGGCCCTAAGTAACAGTTCTGTGTCCCTGAGTAACAATTTCTGTGTCCTGAGTAACAATTCTGTGTCTGTGCGAGTAACAATTCTGTGTCTGTGCTAAGTAACAATTCTGTGGCCCTAAGTAACAGTTCTGTGTCCCTCAGTAACAATTCTGTTCCCTGTCTCTGTGTCTGTGCGAGTAACAATTCTGTGTCTGTGCGAGTAACAATTCTGTGGCCCTAAGTAACGGTTCTGTGGCCCTCAGTAACAGTTCTGTGTCCCTGTGTAACAATTCTGTGTCTGTGCGAGTAACAATTCTGTGGCCCTAAGTAACAGTTCTGTGGCCCTCAGTAACAATTCTGTGTCCCTGATTCGTTTCTGTGGCCCCAAGTAACAGTTCTGTGGCCCTCAGTAACAATTCTGTGTCTGTGCGAGTAACAATTCTGTGGCCCTAAGTAACAGTTCTGTGGCCCTCAGTAACAGTTCTGTGTCCCTGAGTAACAATTCTGTGTCTGTGCGAGTAACAATTCTGTGGCCCTAAGTAACAGTTCTGTGGCCCTCAGTAACAATTCTGTGTCCCTGATTAACAATTCTGTTCTGTGGCCCCAAGTAACAGTTCTGTGGCCCTCAGTAACAATTCTGTGTCTGTGCGAGTAACAATTCTGTGTCTGTGCGAGTAACAATTCTGTGGCCCTAAGTAACGGTTCTGTGGCCCTCAGTAACAGTTCTGTGTCCCTGTGTAACAATTCTGTGTCTGTGCGAGTAACAATTCTGTTGCCCTAAGTAACAGTTCTGTGGCCCTCAGTAACAATTCTGTGTCTGTGCGAGTAACAATTCTGTGTCTGTGCGAGTAACAATTATGTGGCCCTAAGTAACAGTTCTGTGGCCCTCAGTAACAATTCTGTGTCTGTCCCTGAGTAACAATTCTGTGGCCCTAACTAAAGTTTCTGTGGCCCTAAGTAACAATTCTCTGGCACTCAGTAACAATTCTGTCTGTCCCTGAGTAACAATTCTGTGGCCCTAATAACGTTTCTGTGGCCCTAAGTAACAATTCTCTGGCACTCAGTAACAATTCTGTCTGTCTCTGAGTAACAATTCTGTGGCCCTAATAACGTTTCTGTGGCCCTAAGTAACAATTCTCTGGCACTCAGTAACAATTCTGTCTGTCCCTGAGTAAGAATTCTGTGGCCCTAATAACGTTTCTGTGGCCCTAAGTAACAATTCTCTGGCACTCAGTAACAATTCTGTCTGTCCCTGAGTATGAATTCTGTGGCCCTAACTAGCGTTTCTTTGTCCCTAAGTAACGATTCTGTTGCCCTAATTAACAATTCTGTGTCCCTGAGTAATAGTTCTCTGTCCCTAAGTATCGTTTCTCTGTCCCCAAGTATCGTTTCTGTGGCCCTAACTCTGTCCCTGTCCCTAATACAGAGCGGTCTGCCTCTGTTCAATGACTGCAGGCAAATGAAGAATTCCAAAATGGCCGCTATTTATAGCTCGACCATTACACAGTGCTAGCTGGCTGGCTGCTGATTGGCTGATGCGATCACATGTCGTTGAGGAATGCATTATGGGTCAGCGTGCCTTGTCTGCGCGCCTTCCCAGACATCCCCGCTCCGTCGCCGCACATGTCAGCCGCCATTTTCGGAAAAATTTCGATTCGCGCGTCCGAATTAGGCTATTTTTCGGATTCGGCGCAAATCGAAATTTTTCCGATATTCGACTCGAATTCCACTTCGGCTACTTCGATTCGCTCATCTCTACAAGTAACGTATGCTCGCTTTTAAGTTGGGGTGCCACCTTAACAATGATTTTACGTTATGCTGCCTCCGCCTGTAGATTCAGGCATTAGCAGGTGCTACTAGTGTCACTCATTGGGAGCATTGAGCTCCGTCCACATTAATGACTTTAAAGTTCTTAGACAAGTCTACACACCACTGTTGGAAGATCATGCTTCTACTGGGAAGGCACATTCTAAGAGTCCACAAGGTACAAAAGCAGTACAAAGGTGATCTTCATAACAATCCTTATGCCCAAAAGACTGAACTAAGGGAGGTTGTTTTTGGCACTTCTTGCTCCACACGGAACAAAATTCAGTCACTGTGCTTACATGTAAATCAGTTGTTGAAAGAACTCAAGACATCACGTGATCTTTCAAAACATGTGCTGTGGAATCTCAAAAGAGTTACTTACTTTTTAAATGAGACTTCCTGTGAGTGATGAAGTCTACGTAACAGAACCATCTTACAGCAACATCTGCGAAACAACAACTCAAACTTTTGCTGACGGCAACAAGACTGAACCTTCAATGGATGTCCAGAAATCTACTAATGCTATGATCCTACATGGCAGCATTGATGTTCATAGACTATGCAGCTAAGTCACCATCTATTCTGGTAGATACTATTCAAAGTGAGCCAGCTGCAACTAAGGGCTAGTCCAGTTATCAGTGGAGCTTCACAGTAGTAATGTTGCTTCACATAGATAGTCCCAGTGAGAGTCAGACTGAAGAAGAAGCAAGGTTGCTTTGAAACACGTTCTTGTTCCAGCTCCAGGTGACTTCATATCCTGGCCCGTGTCCCATCCATGGCTTTGGCCTTGGCTCTCCAGTGACAGCGGTTCACTGCTTCCATTCCATCTCCACTCCTTTGCCGGTGGCCAAGGCAAGGTATCCTGGTTGCCTGTCCGATCTCTGTGCAAGAGACTACCTGACTGAGCTCCGCATTAACTTTGTGAGTAATTTTTTACACTTTCCATTAAAATTACACTTTACATGCTACACTATGGTTGTTGCTATTCTCTCCCCCTCTACCCTTTTTGTCTGCTATAGCCACACAGCACACCCATGCTGGAACAAAGCAGCACTTCCAGATTTAGATTAGCAGTGTGTTGTATAGCACTCTGGGCTACCCACATTATCTAGTTTACATAAGCTTTATCTGTCAATTTGTTTTATATTTTATCATACGGTTTTATATTGCTTCACATTGTTTTACAGTGCTTCACACTGTGAACTTACATCTTGCCCATCAGAGCACTGATTTCTGATCAGCAAGTCTATGTGTATATAAATGTGTATATGTATATACTGTATGTATGTGTATGCTCTGGCAATTCTTTGTATTAGACCACTGGGGTTGGTTTCAGCCCAAGGGGTTGGTGTGCTGTGATTATTTTGGATGTTCACACCTTTAATAGATAATTTTTTTACCCATCTTTAAATTGGAGCATCCTCCATTTCAGGAATTGAGAGCTGAGCCTCTTGGGGACAGAGTCATCCAAAAATAAGAGCGATAAGAGAGGCTGTTCTACTTCAACCTCAAAGTGGTTATAAAACAGAGAAACACAAAGAGGGCACCTCCATCTGAGTGTATACTGTATGACAGCATACATTTGAATAAATAATGCACTCACACATTGATTAGACATCACAGGGTGGACATCGGGCAGCTGGAATCAGCAGGCAGAGTAGTGCTACAGCAGGAGGAAAAGGCATATCGGTGTAGGAGACAATCCTGATGTTCTGACTTCACTGTGCAGTGTCTAGCAGGCAGCGGCTGGCCTAACACCAGGTAGCGGTTGGTGTTTCTGCTAGGTTCTGTAAGCTGAAGCACTAGAACTGTGTCCCCATCACCACGAGCTGCTGTAATTGGATGACATCCACCTCAGCTGTGTTGAAGATGTTCTGCAGCTTGTTGAGCACCCCTGATGCTGTCCTGCTAGCCAATGTCCACCCCATGATGGATGTTAGGTTCACTTGTCTTCTTACATGTGAGTGCATTATTTCTTCAAATTTATGCCAACTGTCGTACAGTATACACTCAGATGGAGTTGCCTTCGTTGTGTTTTTCTGTTTTATATGTGTACTAGGTTACCCAAGACCTACTTAAGGGGATCTGCCACCTTTCTCTCTGAGTGAATATTATATTACCAAACACTCCCTCCCCGATCATTTATCCTGCTGCTCTTGTTTGTTATACATTTTTTTTTTTTTTACTCAAAGTGGTTATTCATGCTTTGTCTTCCATTGAGAAGTTACTTGATGCTTCAAAGACTGTTGCAGACATCAAGATGCCAACATTATGATCATCTGAGGTTCATGTGATGTTTTTGAACTTGTGTGTGTATATATATTTTTGCATGTTCTCCCACTTTTTGTTCTTTTTAGATCCAAGGACAATTCATCCTTTATGGATTGTGGTATAGTAAAATCTTACTATTTCAGGTGGGAAATGTTCTGCCCCACTTTCATGTATTTTTTGTCTTGTACTGCATGAGGTTATCAGTTTTCTGTAGTATGATGAAATGTATTGATGGTGTTTGGCCACTACAACTTGTTTACTAATGTGATTTTGATATCTTCCTTTGACCTTCACTCCTGTACAGGGCTAATTAGTTTCATCTTAGCTAGACACCCCTTTTCTTCCATTTTCCTCAGTTAGTATCAGTTAATCAAAGAAGCAGGGCTTAGGAAGTCATGGAGAACTGGAGAGTGCAAAATCTGGTGCAGCTGTGCATGGTAGTCGGTGAGCTTCTAACTTCAACTTGTTCAATTAAGCTTTGTAAAATAAAACCTGGAAGCTGATTGGTTTCTATGCATAGCTGCACCAGATTTTGCACTCTCCAGTTTTAGTAAATTAATCCCATAGTTTTACACTTCAAAAGACTGTAAAACATCCTCTCTACTGCAATTAGCTGAAGTAAAATTGTGTTAGATTTAACTGTGTCTTACTGAAGAGTTAAAGAATATGTAAACCCAACTATAGCATCCTCTAGTATGCTACTAGAATAGTGTAGTGTATTGCAGGTAAAATCATTATGTATGACTCATGGTAATTGTGTGAGTCTGTGATTGAGGTCGGGTTATTGCAGGTCAGCTGAATGACTTATCAGGTTGTGGCTCTGTCTCCTCCTCCTGTCTCTGGAGGACCATAGAACCTTCCAGAAGTCAGTAAGCAGGAAGGGGTGGAGACCTAATCTGCATGTTTATGGGAGTCTGGCCAATCCCAGGTTTGGAGGCCCAGGTAGAGGGGTGGACTGGCCCATAAATATGGGAGAGTCAGGATGACAGGGAGTCAGGTGGAAGATGGAGTGCTGAGGAGACTGTCGTTGCCTGGGAGGGGTTACCTCCAAGCTGGACTTGGGCTGGCTCAGGAGGATATATTCAGCAGTGCAGCATGAATGGGATCGAGACCTGGAGCAGTGGGAGCAAAGAGGACAGAGTGCGCACATCAACACTCTCTGGGATCCACAAGGGGAAAGTCTGCCACATGTAGCAAATTTTTAAAGGACAACACTAGGCTCAATCCTTTATCCTTGTACTGGGAGATCTTAGGGCAGCCGTGAGGGCTGGTAGTGTTTTCAGGCTGTGGAGCTGGAAGCAATTCTATAGGGGGAGAGGAGACATCTCTGCATGTAATTACATGAAGCTAAGCTGATTTATGAGGGGCTGCTAGTTCCTCTCCCTTAAAGGGCTGTTTCTACTGACCTGCAAAGACTGGCAGCTTTCAAGGAAAAGAACAGTCCAGGATCTGTTTTGTACATATTAAGGAAATTATCCCTCTTCATTGACTGGGCATCCCATAATCCTTATTTCCCTATCCAAGTTATTTCCCCTAATAAAATAACAAAACCAAGCCCACGGACTGGTTTCTGTCTCTAGGATGCAAGTCCATGTGAAAAATACCTGTTGCCTGGCTGTGCAGTTTTGGGATACCCACAACACAGCATCCATCATGAGAGTGGCACTGCACAACGTTTCATATTCCTGATATGAACCTGCTGTACCATGTACTTGTATGAGAAAGTACTCTGTTCTCTTTGTATTGCTTCCTTTGTGTGAAATCCTCGGTGTTCCTGCCAGTCCCTCTGCTTTCCTATCATAAACTGACTACATTAAGCATGAGAGCAGTTTTATGGCTGTGGGAAAAAGATATTTATAATGATCTTTATATACACAATTGTTTTGACTTTCATTTCTATTTTAAACTGGGGTTGTTTTACAAGGTGAAGGTTTACATATATTGAGCTGCCTGTGGATGGTGCCATGTCAGCAGGTGACCATACTTTCTGGACAGACTAGGTATAATGCGGTATGTCAATGCATAA